TTTTGCTTTCAAGCTCCTCCTTCAACTCTCTCCTTTTAGAGACTTCAGAGGTGCCTGTCCTGGCTAGTCCCCCTATCCTGGGATGAAAAACGAAACAGGGATCAGCCCTATGTCCAGCTGCATCTCCACATCCTTTGAGCTGGCCCAATTTTTCTTTCCAGTTCAGGTTCTAGCATTCAAGATGGTGTATTTTTCATACAGAGATGGAGTGAAATTTTTCTGCTCCATGAGATGCAGAGAGTGACCGCTGTAGGCTTTGTTAGCTGAAGTGTTCCTTGTGACAAGCACAAGGCTCTGTAAAGAGGGTAGTGACATTTGATTATCACTTAGATGAGGAGAAAGAAAAGCAACTTTCAAAGGCAAGGCTGACACTGTTACAAACACTAGCAGAAATGACCTTCACACACAGCTAGCTCTCTCTGCTGCCAAGAACCATCCTCTCAGCCACTGTCATCTTTATCTCCAGTACACCTGGGGCAGTGCAGTCTTACATCAGCTATTGCTGCTGTGAAATCCAGGGGCTTTTCACCAGGCTGGGGAAAACAGTATGGGGCGGGGGGGAGGTGGTCCTGCATGTGGAGAGCCTGAAACAGTCTCCCAGCTCAAAGAGGCTCGGTTTTTCAAATAATGGTGCAAAGCATGGGTCAGCTTCCCAGCCACACCAGGGCAGCAGACACAGGTAAACGGAATAAATCACTATCTGTATGGGAAGAAGTTTTTACTCAGCAAAGCAAACAGCTAGGCTGGCAGCTCCAGCATTCAGCTCTGCTGCTCAGGGTGCCTTGCCGAGAGAGAACCACCTTCAGCACCACATAGCTAAATGCAACCAAGGGAAGAGGGAAGAAAAGGCACAGATTGTACTAGGACAGGAGTCCACATCTGGCCACTGGTATTCAGGTCAGAAAAGTTCAGGACACTACAAAATACAGGCCAAAACCATTCTTTAGGTTCTTCTCCAAGCTCCATCACTAACAAAAGACCTAACCATGTCTAACTCGGAGCCGTCCTTTTGGAGGAGGGGGATAGTGGGTGATGTGAGCATGTGCAAGAAGCCAGCTTAGTAAACCTGAACGGTGCTGGATCCATCCTTATCCTAGAATCTGCAGCAAAGAGCATTACACTGTTCCCTGCATCACATGGCTTTCTGATAAATAGTCTTTCCTAATAAATCTATCCCTCATTGTACACATACGGAATCCATTGCTCTAAGTTGCCACTGAGGTACTGTCAGAGTCATTAAATATCATTATCTGGGGCAGCTGTTCCCCAGTGGGCT